CCATAAAAATATGAGACATACTTTTAATTGGGTTGGGAAAATAAAGGACTAATTAATTGGCTAAGTTATTTTCCCAGTGTTATTCTTATATCAACCTGGACTGTATTTCATTATTCAAACCCTTGTCAGCTGTATTTCACAAATGTTGTAAATGAAGTCAGAAACTACTGGTTCCAAGTTCTAAACATCTGTTTGAATAAACAACCAGCCAGCCAAAGGCCTAACACCTGTGTCTGATACTAACACTATCAGATGCTCATCATGGATGTCTTGTCAAAAACTGGTACTACAAACTCACTACCACCAACTGGATTAGAAGTCAGCATTTATAAAAGCAACAGCATAAGGAACTAAAAAAAAATCAACAAACTCAATCTTGTTTCACCCATTTTTATTTTTTCTAACTAGATTGAACTGATTTTCATGGGCCTTTCTTAAGAAAATGTTTTTAGTACACTTAGTTTTTTATGATCACACAATTTTATCTTAGCCAACAAATTTTCACAAGATGGACAGAACTGATTTCCATTCAATATTACTAGGATTTAAATAATGGAGACTGACACTTTTCACATTGGGAATAGATAATTGATTTTGAATTTTTAAGTAAATTACAACATGTATATCACAACGTTATTCTAGGTATCAACAGCACATTTTAATCACTATTACACTTTCGTGTAACTGATTTCTTCAATCTAACTAATTTTTCATTTAGAAATCAAATCCTTTTTTTCAGTTCTCAGTCTTTCAGACTATGGCATAAGATGTAATTAGATCTGGGTAAATAAATCCATTATTCAATATGAAAAATTACATATGAGCATCAATCAGATGGATTAATGTCACATAAAACAATTATTAATTGAAATTACAAGTAAATAAACAGTGTCTTGAAAATAATCCAACTAATTGGTAATCACAATATTGGTATTATGATTTATTATTTGATAAATTTAACTTTGTTCAGCTTAATCAATTATTAGTATTTTGAATCATTCAAACTGTCCAAATAACTGAAATGTTGCTATAAGTTTTGATAAGTGCAAGTCAGTATGCAAGTTCCACTAATTGCCCAACTTGTCACATAAAAAAATTTTGCAATTTAACAAATTTCAGTCCTTCATGTTTGATGGGTGCCAACACACTGATCCTTGAGAGCCCATAAAATGAATTTTGAGCAAGGGATTGTTAGATTCCCTGTTGAGTCTGTTATGATCACTATTTTGAGCCCACTATTGGTTCTTTTATCCTTACCAATAAATAAATAATGTTAAATTCAGATCCTGTTACCATCTATCATAGCATTAACTATGAAATCAGCTGTTTGTATAAACAGACAAGCTCACAGATAACATCATGTGACCCTGTCAACTGCAATGACTGATACTTTAATTTTAATTGGCCTAGGCTAGAGATGTTACTCATACAGTAATATGAAATTTCAAATTATATTGTGCTATACTGACAAATATTTGTAGCTAAGTCAATTTTTTAGTTAAAGTTTAAATTATGAAATTATATATTAATTATTAGGAAATTCAGACTAGCAAGAACAGTTTTAGCAAATTTGATTGTGACCTAAATTGTATAAACTACTTTTTGCCTGATAGAAGGCTGCAAAGTTGATTGGAGGTCATTGTAGTTCAGTAGATGCTGGAACATGGTGTCTCAGTTTAGCCAGCAAAACTGTGTTTTGTTAATAGAAAAATAGTACAATTTAGCCAATACAAATAAACCTTTAGTGTCTAATTTTGTAAACAAAGAATTAAGAAAGAGCATCAGAACACTAACAGCTTAGGTTGTTAAAGCTACCCCTTCTACAAGGGCTTGCAGCAAGAAGGACCAAAATGGTGCAAATGTTGAAAAAGACAACAACAAAACTGGTAAGGCAACAAACAGAAGAGACTTTTGTCTTGAAAACCCACAAGCATTGAAAAAACCTTTATGTAAAGAAGAGTACTTTAGACTTACGAGTGAAATTTTGAGATTTTTTTATAATGACACCTGTATTTTGTTGCAAGAATGATTAAGAGATTGAAGGAAAATTGCTTGTAGTCTTCAGTTTAAAATAATAGCAGTAGTTTCAAGTATGGGGCTGTTTAACTCTCAATTCGGGCTTGGTCAATTTGACTGACCACGTAATCGCTTTGTACTCGATTAAAATCTTTATAGATTTAATACTTCTAACCTTCAATATAGTGTGTATATCTTCACAAAATTTGGCAGTCTTTTAGTTAATATTACAAATCTTTCACAAACAAGTAGCTCAAAGTTTGTAACAGTATACATCTATTCATAATTACATTTTATTGCCCTTTGAACCATGTCTAACTACTATCCATGCCATTATAAGTTATAAATCCCTCGGGCAATGTGCAGCTCACGTTACACTATCGAATTACATTACCTACGAGCTGCTCACATGTGCCTCATGAAACATTTCTATTATATTAATATTATTATTTATTTTACCTAATCTAATCTTAACTAACCTAAAAGGATCCCTATTTTTACATTTTAGTTACTTTTATAATTATATATAAAGAACAAACATGAAAAACAAAGAAAATACTTAACCAATCTTCTTTCTTTTTTACTATAGATGGTAATGCACTTAGCAATTTTTATTTAAGTAAATAATGTACCAAAGAAAATAAACTAATAACATGCAAAAAGTAGACAAATTTTCATTTAATTAAATAATGTACCAAAGAAAATAGACTTGTAACATGCAAAAAGTAGACAAATTTACTTTATATAGTTTGCCTTCACACACCATAAAATTCCAAAATACCTGCATTGAAAGGAACTTAGCATGTTTTGAATTTAAAATAAATGGTAATGATTGAGTGGTAAAAAACATTGCAAGGTTTTATTATTTTTGATCTAAGTAATACTGAAACAATCCATTAATTACCTGAACTTCATCATCCTTTCGAATCGGGATGCTACGCACACCATATTTCTGCCTCAGTTCTTTTGTCAGAGGGGCACTCATGATCTTTCTTCTGATGTGGGATGGGGCATTAAAATGTCTCTTTCTGTTTTTCCTCCGAGAAGAAGTGACCAGCTTATTCATCTTCATGGTGAAGCTTCTACTTGGGTAAGGGATACCTAGAAAAGTAAAACTAACCCACTTTTAGAACAAAATCTTATCTTAATTTTTATAAAAAAAACATGATATATTCAGTTTTCTACACAACCAGTTATTTCAATAATTCAGTAATCTTTGGTTATATTTTGCAAATTTTGATCAGTAACTTCAAACATCTGTAATCTAATCACAAGTCCATTTCTGTACAAAACTACAATACACAAAAATTATCAAAGTTTAATAGCAATGGAAAAATAATTTTGTACAGTACATCCCGATATTATTCCATTTTGAGGAAGCACACAAAACATCAGAGTAACCAACATATTTATAATGCAGCTTCCAGTTTTTTAAATCCAGAACAAAAGTAGGCCTAATTATAATTATCTTCATGTCCCCACACAGGATAAGACTCACAGTTTGGGAATCGCTGCTTTAATAACTAGGCTAGTCTGACACAACCGTATTATTTTAAATTTCTAAATACAAAACAGGGATCAAAATATTGTTTCTGCATTCACAAGAAATTTGTCTTTGTTTGAGGAATTTATCTTTTAGATGGCCTTCCTGATCAGGAATGCATGGTCTATCCACATTCCTTTAGTTATGACCAATAAAAGTGAACATATTAAATAGATTAAATAAAAAAACAATTCACGAAGAAATGCAACTTTATTTCAAATGTATATAAAACCTAAAAAATTATTCTGTTTCACATCTTCATCATGTGAAGTTTTATAAGGCTTAGCAACCTAACAGAAGCAGCAAATGGTCGTAACTAGAGAGATAATTGTTTGCTTTATTCCTTTATTTACTGTTCTATGTTTTAAGAAAAACAAGTATAAGAACTTATTTATAAACAGTAATAATGTATAATAATTGAAATGTGACTGTATTTTACAAAATACTAGTCTACTAAAATACAGACTTGGTATTTTGACATCACAAACATCTAATTTGAACCAATACTGCATTCAACATACCATGTGACACAAAAATCAATGTTTAATCATTTTTTAATATTTACTTTTAAATTAAAAATTGAATAAGGTATAATACTAAAATTTGAATTATAATCTACAGTTTGATACCAAACTTATTGATATAAATTTATGAAATAGTAGTTCAATAAAATTTTGAATGCGAGTCAACAAATGCAATGACATGGCCTTTCACCTGTGACCCATCTCGAAAGGGTTAATGGATGGGACAGCCTCAGTTGACTAAGAGGCCCCTTGTTGCCCAAAGATGGTATGTTAACCTCTCAGTGTATTTCAAATTATCATATAGAGGTTATCATCTACACGATTCAGGTCAATTCCAATATTTTCCATAAAATACTCAAAATGAGCGATATTGCTAATATCATTCTTTGTAAAAACAGAAAACATTTGAGAGCTTAGCCATCTCATAGTCTTCAACAATCACTTTCTATAGAGTGGAGGAATTTTTCAGAATAATGTCAGTGTGAACTAAATAAATTGATGTGTTATAAGTAACTAAAGTATCTTTTGTTTTTATAGATTGCTCTGAAATATGAATTTTGTCTTCTCATTTTACATGCATATGGCAGAAAACTAAAGTCACACATGGAATTAATGTGAATTATAAATTCTTACCTATTGACCAGACCTTTTTTTATTGATTAATACTTAATATCAAACATTACCAGTGAAGAACATGGCTAACAAAGGTTTATTTGATAAATGTTTAAGTTGAAGATGGTTGCTTTTTTCTGACTAACCCACTTTCAATTTCTTGTGATGTTATCTTTCTGCTTATAATTCCAACAGAATATATTTATAGCAGTTTAATATTTGATTGTTGAATATAACTGATTTTATTTTCTGTAATTATTTTGGCTAAATGAGCTACTAAGTAAAGTATTTTTCTTGTGATCTAGAAGATGATGGTATTTCTTCTGAAGGTGAAATAATGGCCAAAGGTGATAAAAAGAGTAAGAATCCAAATGTTTCATATGATACATCTCTTCCTGCCCAACACACTGTAAGTTCCAGTGAAATTTCTAAATTTGTAATTTCATATAAATGTAAACATTATTGTTTGTTACAATTAGTTGCTCTTCTGCTTGCAGTTGAATTAATGTTACAATTTTATTTTAAGTGTTATGTTAATTTTATGTAGTTTTTCCTGTGTGTCAGATACATGTGGTTTTTATGAACTTAATGTACAAGAAGGCTATTTTTTTCCTTTTATGATTAAGTAGTTTGAGTGCACTATTTACTAAAAGTAAAAATAAAGATACTTCTTTAAGTAATAAATATTGGAATTTTGGTTTTAAAATGTTATAATCTTATGTTATAATCCAACATAAAAGTTTTGTAAATGAGTGAGTAATATGAATACAAAATTTTTTTGGTTGTATTTACGTATATTTAAATTGCAACTGCAGAATTTGTAACTTTTTTTAGCCATTGGTTAGCTGGGTTTGTTGTTGGTAACATACACCAGCCCTAAAGATATTATATTGCACCTTATGTCAAATTATTAAAGAAGGGAAATATCACTTCATGGCTGGTAGTCATAAAACCACCATTGTATAGGGTTTCCAACACTATAGAGTGCAAAAGCACAGGGCAGATTATTATATGAACGAACCCATTCTGGACTAAATTAATCCACCTTCAATGGGCGAATGAATGCTAATTTCAAATGCTGAACTGAATCAAGTCAAATTTTTGTCATAGTTCTGATTAATAATGTAAAAAAAGTGCTAATTACAGAATTAGCTACACAGAAAAAGGTTCATAGCTCCAATTAATAATGTTAAAAAAGTGCTAATTACAGAATTAGCTACACAGAAAAATGTTCATAGCTCCAATTAATAATGTTAAAAAAGTGCTAATTACAGAATTAGCTACACAGAAAAATGTTCATAGCTCCAATTAATAATGTAAAGAAAGTGCTAATTACAGAATTAGCTACACAGAAAAATGTTCATAGCTCCAATTAATAATGTAAAAAAATTGTTAATTACAGAATTAGCTACACAGAAAAATGTTCATAGCTCCAATTAATAATGTTAAAAAAGTGCTAATTACAGAATTAGCTACACAGAAAAATGTTCATAGCTCCAATTAATAATGTTAAAAAGTGCTAATTACAGAATTAGTTACACAGAAAATGTTCATAGCTCCAATTAATAATGTTAAAAAAGTGCTAATTACAGAATTAGCTACACAGAAAAATGTTCATAGCTCCAATTAATAATGTAAAAAAAGTGCTAATTTTGTAGATCTATGGATTATTTAAACCCATGTAATGAAACAAATATATATATCTCTTTTGTAGATGGCTGTAAGGGGTAGATGAAAACAATTAGACTATATAAAAGATATATTAATTCCTCCCCACCTAGTAATCTAATTGTATATTGACTTTGAGGTTTGTACTGGTGTAATATATCCATGTTCCATTACATCTATTGAGCTGGCAACCATGTATTTACAGTAGATATACTTACAGAATCTGTAGTCATGTTTTTCATATTATAAATATAATTGATTTAGGAACTTGAAATAACTTCAACTAGAATATGTAGAATAAGACTTAACAGAGATCCTGTATTTGGTGCGAGGTCAACACGTAAACTACCTTTATTTAGTGTGGGGTATTTTGATAGCATCAAGTGACATGATGTTTAATTGGAGCGATAGGATGATAATGTTACCCGAGTTAAATAGAACATTGTTTAATGTGTGATAGCCAAAGTTTGATGATGTAGCATGATGAGTAGAGATGGGCAATTTAATTGATTAATCAAAATTATGATTATTTAGTTAATCAAAATTAGTGATTCAGAATATTACTCTTTAATTATTCAAATACTCGATCAGAATTACAATAATATCAATTTTCACAAAAATAATCAAGTAGTTAAAATTTGTTTCCTTTTATTCCAACTATCCAAGTGATTGAAATATTTTATTATTTTTGTTACTTAAGTACAAAGCCAGATAACGACTATTTGTTTTGTGCCAAATTTCAGCCTTTTTTTTTTTTACTTTGGTAATTTGGAGGGAAGAGCTTGTGATTTGAGGGTCTCGGGTTACTTTCCCATTGCCACCAAATTTGTTTGCTATATCCTTGTTATGACAAAGCTACAAAGCTATCTGCTGCTGTCACTAATTTTGAACTGTTAACTGAAGGGAAGCCGACTGACTGGCAGAACTTGTCGGCAACATTTTTCTTCTTCTTATTATTTTTTTTTGAACTGCTGACAAGAGAAAAGGCAACATCTTGCTAGCAGCATTAACTTCTGTTGCTTATTTTGTTGTTGTTGTTTGTATGTAATATGGTTTGAAGAACATTGTATCAATTGATTAATCAAAGATAATTAAGGAGCTATGCTAAAAGTGGAATATTGTTTAAGATTTTTTTTAGCCTTATCATCATTTTGCACAAAATCATCTTGTTTATAAGAGCCTATTGTTTTTATTCTAGTAATATGATGTTTGTATGGAATAGGTGATGTGTGTGAAATGTAAAGAAGAATAGGGTCTGTAGTTTATTTTTCATTGGTATTAAAATGGTATAACTCTGCATACTTGAGTCAGGAAGCACATTATGCTAATATAATAATAGGTAGGCAAACAGCGATTTATAAGCGTAACACCGAGGTTATATGCGTAGAGGTGAATTTCAGATATCTCCTTTAATATATCATTAATATGAAATGGGTCTCAAAATATTTTGGGATGAAAGTCTTCTGCTACCGTGATGATGGCCCTAGCAACATCAGCCATACTTGGTGAGGTCTATTCACCATTCATACACTTGACCAGGCTTGACCTTTACCTAAATCCTGTCACATACTGACAACATTTCTCTTACATTTAATCCCTGTGTCTTTCATCTTTGCAACGATATATAAACCTGGTATTGCTTAGTACAGATCATACCTGAAGAAGAGAGGCCAGTGTTCTGTCAAAACGTATAGTACATGTTCCATCATCAATAAAATTCTTCCTTATACTTATAAATTGCTGTTTGCCTACCTGTTATTATAACTGCATGTTTTCACTAGACCTGTATATTCCTTCATCTTGCTTTGTTATTGTAGACTGATTTGTAAGATACACTTAGTTTGCATAACTAAAATCAGTACAGTTTATCAAGATGACCAAGTTTCATTAAGGACACTAGTTTTTAAGACCTATTGTTATGAGTAAATTTTTAAAAATGTTGGATGATTTTCCAATTTTTTTCCTCAAATTTTATTTGTTTTTAATTTTTATTTTTCTGCTGCTTATCCTTGTAGAAAATATCTCATCTTAAGCTTGTCTGTGTTTTGTCTCTTTATTCTGTTGTTTATATTATATTGCCCAAGATTTAGATGTTGCCCAATATTTGATTCATTAAATATTGCTTGGAAAATTTTTTGATGTAGCAGATAAGTACTCCTATTTTGTATTAAATTTTTCTCTTTAATTCTGTTTTTAATTTTTATTCTTACATAATATGTAATTTTAAACTTGTAATTATTTAATTAATTGATAAATACTTGACCCCGTAAGCTGTGATGTCAGTTAGTACTTTTGTAGTACTTAGGTAATGATTTGGAAGAGTTGAGTGGGAGAACTTTATTAGATGATGACAGCTGTCAGAGTTTGCCCCTCCTACCACTTCCTGGAATTGTTCTTATTCCCGGTCAAACACTTCCCCTACAGTTGTTTGAGCCCTCAGCTGTTAGCATGGTCAAAAGGATCATAGAAAAAGACCGTACTCTTGGAATTGTAAATCAGTAAGTACTCAAACCACCTCTTATGTTTCAAAATATTTTTTATTACCAAATTTATATTCACTTAGAATTATCTTTTATAAGTTACTAGTCTTGATTCAAATGTGTAATGATTATAAGTGATATATTTTATTATAATATTAACACTTTCCACATGGGCTAGGTCAATTTAACGAACCTCGTAACCACAAACTAATCATTGCAGTTTCCATACTATAACTTTTAATATGGTACATGTGTCTTCACAAAATTTGATAGGCTTTCAATAAATGTTGGAAGCCTTTTGTACACAAAAAAATCTGATTTTTAATTAAGTACTTTTACTAAAGATTTGTCCATGAATATATAGAGTCAGAGTATTGACTGTTCTGAGTGCAAAGTGAATTTGATTTTAAGATTAAAAATACTTCTCTTCATGTAAAAATGTTCATATTTTATTTGTGGAACCTCTAAAACCTCTTGAATAAATATCAAATATTTTTTGAGTTAAAGTCTATATCTGTGTGGACTTGGTCAATTTGACTGACTTCATAACCACCATAAAAAACATGCAATAAATCTAAGTTACCCCTTTTTTCTTTCCAGAATTACTACAATTATAACAAGAAACTTCATTTGTTTATGCTAAATAGCTTAGGCTCGTAACAGTAAATATCTGTTTATGCATAATTTTATTGTTTTATTGCCCTTTGAACCCTAACTAATAATCTTAGCATGTAGCTCACATAGCTTCAGGCCTTGACAAATCCCGGGCATCAGGTCGCCATTGTGACTAAAAATTTCATTGTAGCACCTAGTATTTTCTCCTATTTTATTTTTGCATAGGGCTGTGCTAAATCAAACTTAAATCTAGAACAGTTCTGGACTCTTGAAAGTTTGGAACTATTTTTGCATTCTTTGAGTCTTAAATCAAACTTTGTTTCTAGAATTTTATTGGTAGATTCACCACTTTGTGTTTTTTCAGGAATGAAGCAGTGCAGTTGCACAACACATAACTAATTTCATGTCATTTTGTTTTCTTCTTTTTCTCAATTCATCCAATTAGTGCACATGTTTAGACTCAGACTCATTGCTGTGAAAGTAAATAAATATGCACTGTATCACCATTTCCCGGTACAAACAGTAGTAAAGTTAGGTTAGGTACACCCAACTCCAGAGGTTTTGAGCTGGCTTCTATATCTGAAAATATTTGTCAAGGCTTACATTACTCTATTGAATGATATAACTCACAAGCTGTTCGTGAGCATACCTCATGAATAATTTTTTATTATTATTTTTCCTTATCTTATATAATTTAACCTAATAAATTTCTGGTTTTTACATTGTGGGTACTTTTATAACAATAAATGAAAAATATACATGAAAAACAAGAAATATATATACTTACTTTTGTACTCTTGTTTTTTATTGCTGTTGGTTATTGATGAAATTGAAACTTTTTTTTCATACTAATGATACTGATACACTAAATAAAAAATTATTTACTTAAAAAATGCAGCGAAAAACCCAGAAAAGTAACACGCACAAAGCAAACAATGTCTTATAACTATTATAATCGAATTGGCTTTCTAACTATGGTATAAGAGCCTTAAAAATTTATTTAAGGTTCTTGATCTAAACACCATGAGAGAAACTTTCAAACTGAAATAAAAATAGACAATACTCTGTACTGAAAACAATGTAATATCATGTGTCACTTAATAGATTAAAACTTTCTATTGTGAAAGTGATATGACAGGTGGGCATGAAAGTATGTCTGATTTTCTAGCTTATGACTCCATAAATAAATAAGATTGAAGGCTATAAAAATTTGTCATTACTTTATTAATATTTATATTGTAATGAGTAAGTTATGTTAAATTCCATACTTCAGAAAGTGGTGATAAATAAATTGGAGAAGATTAAAGACCTAGAGAACAAATTTCAATATTCTCATACTAGGGAAAAATTTATGATTTTTAAAAATAATTCTGTATAAAATTAAGAACTTAAAACTTATATAATGTTAAAATTTGATTTTTGAACTATGTTTTGATACCAAGTTTATTCTTATACATTGATAACAAAGTAGTTTAATTACATTTTAAATGTAATTCTCTAAAAGATCATGACATGCACATTCTGATCTACCCATAGCGATAGAGTTAGACAGAATTCAAGCTCTTATTATTCAGTTTAGAGTTGAGCAATTAGTGGAAGTTACTAATCGAATAATCATCAGGTTCATCAATCAATTACATTCAACAGATTATTCTGGCATGAAATCAATCTTCCTGTTTTCAGCTTCTTTTTTTTAAAGACATGTTTAAACTACTCCTAATTTCATGTGAAATACATCTTTAGGGGCAATATTTTAAGATTAAGTTATTTTTTTAATCCTAAACTTTTTTACATGAAAATAAACAAGTATGTAAATTAGTACGAAACTGGTAATAAGCTGAGAATATGATTAATGGTGTTTCATGGGTTTCAACTTATAAATTTCAATAGATTACTCTATTAGAACTACTGAATTTTTTTGATGAAAATGAACGTTACTTTGTAACATTTTCAAACAACTTTTTATATATAGTTAGTAAACTATTACTCTCTTTCCCCCCAAATAAAAGATTTCAAGAAACATAACTAGTTTTTCCATAGACATACATCGGGTGTCAATGAATTCAATGCATCTGTTATTGTTGGAGAGAAAATGATTTTTCAAAACACATTCAGAAATGCACAGAATTTGGCCACTAACACTCATGTTAATGGACAAAAATAGAATGCACAGATTTCATAAATAGTTAGATGGAGTACTTATTTTAAACATTATAAAACACTTTGTTCATGAATCATTTATACATATATTTGTGGCACACACACACACACAGTCAAACTATTGGACACTAAAACTCATCAATGGGCTTTTAAACTTTCAGCTACATGCTGCACAATTTGAAACGTCTGATTAAAGAGAGAGTAGTTATTAAACTTTCCCTGACTTAAACAATAACTCAACTTCTGTTTAGTTCAGCTTGTTTTAATCTCATCGTCTATATAGATACACTTATTCAGAGTAGGTTAATATCCAAGTTCATATTCTGGTTTTCATAATCCACCCATCTCTCCTTTGAGTATCAACAGAAATGTGTAATACTACATGAGCTTATGTTCAACATTCAGGTTATTATTTGTAATTATAGTTTTGTATTTACTGTAGGAATGTGCTGAAGATGGAATGTGTCTGTCATGAAATGTTCGTTAAATATGTTTTTTGTCATTTCTGTGGTTGTTTTCCTTGTGGAAGCCAGTTATATGAATGGTTTTTATGTATAATATTTACATTGCTTATAAAGGGATATCTAAGGAGAGTTATAAAAGACACTTGACTTGTTTATTCTTGCTTCAGACATCAATCTCCTTCAGCAGATGTAGCATGTATTGGTACTACAGCAGAGATAAGGTCTTACATAGAGAGAGCAGATGAAGACATTAGACTTTCTACCATCAGGCTTAAAGCAGAAGGTCGGCAGCGATTCCAGGTTATAGAAACAAGACGACAGATCGATGGGTGAGTGTCTTTTTTTTAATAAAAAAAGAGTCATTTATATATTTCCAGGAATACCAGAAAACTTGGCATAATTTAGAAAAAAATATTTATTTTTCTAACTTTCACTGATATTACTTTTCTGTTACTTACATTGTAGCTTGAGTTGTGACACTTTTATCTAGTGTATTAATGGGCAAGGTGAGGATTCTTCCCGAGATAACGCTGGATGACCCAGGAGAAGGAGCAAGACTTCATTGTCTAGACAGGTTTAGGACTTTACCCCTCTCCACTCCAGAACATATGAAAGTAAAGGAGCAGGGCTCTATTGCCGATTCAACTTTGTTTAAGTCACTCGTAAGAGGAAAGGTGGGGCATTATGTTCCTAAAATACATTATTTACAGTATCAATTTAAAATATACAAAAGTTTTATCATATAATAAACATTAAAAAATCTTCACTTGCTCAACAAAATGGCTTAAGAAAATAATTTGTAAATCTATGAAAGACCGAATCGTTATGTTAGAGTAAGGTTGCTAATTTTTACACATTATAATTTTTCTTGTGCTATTAAATTTAATCACATTAATTTTGCATATATATAATAACATTTTGTAATTTATTTACCAGTATGATAAGTTTGACTTTGCCAACTACACAAGATGGCCACGATGGGTTTATCAGCAGTATGATACTGTAAGTTTTTCTTTTCTTATACATTATTCTTCTGTCATACTTTTAGATATGAGTAAATAGTGTATTAGCTGGAATTTTCCAAAACACTACAAATTTTTATTAAAATTTTGTCTTCAGTAAATTATCATAAAAAATATTGAAATAACCTCATTCTGTTAATTTTTAGGGTTTTTGTTATAGAATTTTACTCTGATAAAAGAAAACAAGTTAAATATGGTTTTAATGCTACCTCTATGTAGCCTTTTTCAGTTATGTTCATTAATTTTATAACTTTTTAATCTCTTTTTTTTTTTAAACACTTTTAAAATTTAGCTATGAAATTAAAACATCTAAACGCACATTAGGTAACAAAAATCCACACCATGACCAACTAAATACTGCAGCTTTGAGATTTTTGGCTCCCACCAGTCAAGCTAGTTTAATGAACTCATTAAAGATTTATATTATATTTAGAAGTTAAAGTAAAATGTCAGTTTTATCATTTTTGTCTTAGGTAATTGTAACCTAATTTTTGTAATGCTAACTTTTTTCTTTGAAAACATTTTATGATTGAATTTTGTTCAAACCTATCAAGTGTGACTTTTGAAAGTTATTGTTCTGAACTGTCTTTTATTTTTTAATGTAATGTTATTACTTGTTTTTCATTTTCATTATGTTTGGGTACCAGTTTTTGATAACATTTGTATTATGTATCAGTTTTGTTATAACTACCTTTTGTAGTTCAGTACAGAGAACAGGGTAAGTTTAGAACCTCTTCCATTATTGGGTCTATAATTGCCAAACTTCAGTTTGTTTTTGGTGTAAAAGGCAGCATAGCAGATAATTATGCCACATTAACACCTCTATGTATTTTACTATAACTTACATAACTTCCGATCAATTCATTTTGCATTCAGATGAATTTCTGATGTAGTACTGTTTTTCTTTTAAACTTTCCAAAATCCATAAACTGAAAATACACATTTACAGAAGAAAATGGAAAGTGGAAAGATATTTACTTTTATTTTATTATTTTGATAATTTATTTGTATTGATGTACTACCATTCTTAATTTGCTATTAGAGCACTGAATTAGAGGCATTACAAATTCATCCAAGCTAGTCATTAACTTTCCCATGGGAATGAACCGTGTATTACAAGTGAAATTGATTATTCTGTGTCCAGGGCATAATATAACAGAATACATTATTTGATAGATGAACAGTTATTAGTTATAGATAATATATAATTAAACATAAGAGAGAATTATTAACAAATCCTGAAAGAGGGGATGTGACAGGTGGGTGTGGCAGGAGGGGTCTGATTTTCTACTTAATAGCTCTGTAACCAAACAAAATTGAAAGCTATAAAAATTATGGTTTGTTTGAGCAATGAAGATTTTATAGGGAGTAATTTATGTTTAATTTCATAGTTTAGGGGGGGGGGGGTAAAACAGAGATGAGAAGATACCTAGAGAAAATGTGTCACGTGTGTCACACTAAGGGAAATTCAAGATTTTTTAAATATTGCCTTATAAAATTAAGAACTTAAAACATATACTATTAAAATATGGATTATTAGCTAAGATGTTATGCTATTCTAATTGGTATAGCATAAACATAAAGTAGTTTAATAAAATTTTGAATTCAAGACACTAAAACCTTGTGTCGTGCACAGTAAAGGATACCTATGGCGAGAGGGTTAATGTAGAATGGTAATAACACTCATGAACTCAGTAACTTTTTTGTGTGTTTGTGGGCATCAATCTGTTTCGTTATGGTGATTTAAAAACGATAAGTGAATGCTACTGTTTTCTGAACAATCATCTTAATCTTCGTAAGTTAAATTAAATCTCTTTTAGTCAGTCTCTTACTTGAAAGATGACGTGAAGTTTCAATCAAGATGATCAAAAAAATTTGATTGAAGAGTTGATACATACTTAAAATACTGTTTGTGTTAATTGGAAGACCTGAAATTAGATACCTCTAATTTTGTCAACAAATGCACTGTTTGTTTATAAATATTTATCAAACTATGAGTTCTCCATGTGAGGTTCTATATATTGTAATGCATTCCATACGTACTTTTGATATAAATCTTTTTTTTTTTAAGCATTCAAGTAAGTTATGCTCTATTCTTTCTTCATTGTTACTTTCATTAATAGTATTGTTTGGAATGTTTAATATGTTTGTTTATTATATATTTTTATTCTAGAATGTTTTTTTAGCATTGATAGCCTAGTATATGGATTTAGGACAAACTTAAATCTCCTAAGGTGACTGAACGCTATGAGATATTATTGGGATTATGGTAAAAAATATTGCTACCAGTGAGGATACCTGACTGACAAAACAATGCATTCTAGCTATTATACACAAGAACAGTATATTAAATTAGCTGTATTCATTATGAGTTAATTTTAGTTCTGACTTGTGTAGATAGCTTGTTCTGATCAGGAGTTAATACAGATTATAAGTTTATATCACAAATTTATAAGAAAAATGTAATTATTGTATAAGGATTATTAGCTAATATTCACATGAATTTTTAAATGTACATAGGGGGAAAATGTCAGGGAAACGTTATGATGGAAAAGTTACTTGTTCTTAATTAATATGCAAGTTTGCTTTCTTAGTATTATTGGTTCAGTTAGTTTAATGTACAGATTATCTTACATTTACTTGAAAAATTTTATTATAAACTTGGTTTAATATATAGTGCTGTTGAGATATTCAGTGTGAGTTTTCTGTTGAATTTCTGGCAATATGCATCCACAAAAAGTAATAAATGTTGTTCTATTAACTTGGGGATGTTTTGGCCACCTAGTTTATATTGATTGGTTCAGAATGGGTCCCGTGTATACATACAGATATACATATTTATTTCTGTAATTTTTATATTAATCTCTGTGAAGAAAAGTAATCCCTAAAAATATTTATAGTTTATTAACCTGAATAAAAATTAGGCTTGTAAGTATTTTTTTTTTTCTTTACTACTCTTCCTTTTTTTTTCAGAACTTAATGTTTTTATGCAAAATTAATCTAAAATATTGCTATGGTATACTTGTAACATCTTTCCAGTGTTTGTTTTCATAAAATTAGTTCATAATGACTAGGCTATAATGTTTGGATGGAATGGTTAAAGCTGACATCGTGAATTTCTTTGGTTTTCCATTATTCAGATATATTAATTTTTATTGAAAGTTATCTTTTTTCTTGGATGTACTGTTTTATATAGATTGTTGTTTTAATATGTTGCTATTATTGCTTATAATGGAAAGTTGATAAATCAAGAAAGACCATGAGAAATGAGTACTAGCCTAAATTTTAACAAATTTGTCATGTTTACTTTAGCACCTATTAGTCCAGAGAATTAAACAGGAACTTGAGAAATGGAACTGTTCTGTGCCTGCAGATAAAGTTGCCAAAACTCCAGTGGACTTCTCGTACTGGGTAGCAGCTAACTTACCACTAGATGACTACAAACGTCTCTTCTTATTGGGTTTAAATAGTGACATCCAGCGACTGAGATGTGAGTTGTCTATGTTAGAAAGGGTAAGTTATAAAGCAATAAGATGTTAGACGTATCTCGGATAACACATTTCTGTGTTAGAAAGGGTAAGTTATAAAGTAATAAGATGTTAGACGTATCTCGGATAACATATTTCTGTGTTAGAAAGGGTGAGTTATAAAACAATGAGATGCTAGACGTATCTTAGATAACACATTTCTGTGTTAGAAAGGGTAAGTTATAAAGCAATAAGATGTTAGACATATCTAAGATAACACATTTCTGTGTTAGAAAGGGTAAGTTATAAAGCAATAAGATGTTAGACGTATCTAAGATAACACATTTCTGTGTTAGAAAAGGTGAATTATACAACAATATGATGCTAGACATATCTAAGATAACACATTTCTGTGTTAGAAAAGGTGAATTATACAACAATATGATGCTAGACATATCTAAGATAACACATTTCTGCATTTTAGAGTGAGTTGTAAAGTAATAAGATGTTAGACGTATCTCAGATTACACATTTCTGTGCCAGAAAGGGTGAATTATATAACAATAAGATGTTAGACGTATCTCAGATTACACATTTCTGTGCCAGAAAGGGTGAATTATATAACTATGATGCTAGACATATCTAAGATAACACATTTCAATGTTAGAAAGGGTGAATTATATAACAATATGATGCTAGACATATCTAAGATAACACATTTCAATGTTAGAAAGGGTGAATTATATAACTATGATGCTAGACATATCTAAGATAACACATTTCTGCATTATAGAGCGTGAGTTATAAAGTAATAAGATGTTAGACATATCTCAGGAAGTTTGGCTATCAAATTAGAAAATTCTGAATGTTTTCACTTCTTTAAATCATTATATTAACTTAATGCCTGAATTATGTATCTCACTTCTGACCATTCAGAGAATAAAATACTTTTTAGGTGGCTAAATTGAACATTATTATATTGGACGGCTGGCTTAAAAAATTTCATTGTTGGATGGTTAGCTTGCAAATTGGCATTTGCGGTAGCTAAGTAGAAAATTGGTTTGCCTTATATAAAATTTTCATACTATGGCCAAGTATATAATCATACTACTGAATGACCAATTATAAAATTGGTTTACGAGACGGCTGTGTGAACAATTGTCATACCAGCTGGTTAAATGGGAATACTGTCTTACTACAAGTTGTTTTATGATGTAGCTCAGTAAACATTGTTGTACCTAGTGGCTAACTCTTAGAACTTTTGTACCGAGTGGCTAAATCAAAGAATCATTGTACCGGATCCTGGATCAAACTAAAAATAATTGTCATACCTGATGATTGTGAAGAAAGTTAATTTTCTTGGTAGTTTTAGTAAAAAAAAATTGTCCTGCTTTGTGGGTTAATTGATAATTTTCATGCTGAATAGATAAACAGAAAGTTGTTTAATGAGAATACTAAATCAAAAAATGTTCTTGTTAAATAACTAGAGAATATAATTTAGCTATTACAAACTGAAAAGTAGACTAAAATATTATTTTTTTACATTATTGCTAATTTTCTCACTCTTTTAGAAGTGTTTTGTGCAAGGAAAGCATAAAAAATTCTAAAAGAAAGAAAACATTAAGGAAAAATGTTTCAGTCTTTTAGAAGTGTTGTGTGCTTTCCTTAATGTTTCAGTCTTTTAGGAGTGTTGTGTGCTTTCCTTAATGTTTCAGTCTTTTAGAAGTGTTGTGTGCTTTCCTTAATGTTTCAGTCTTTTAGAAGTGTTGTGCGCTTTCCTTAATGTTTCAGTCTTTTAGGAGTGTTGTGTGCTTTCCTTAATGTTTTCTTTCTTTTAGAAGTGTTTCGTGCTATCCCATAACATGTTCAGTCCTTTAGTAGTGTGTTGTGTGTTTTTTCAGTTTGTTCTTTTATGCTAAATTTGTATACAAATGTCATGTGAATATAGTTGTGTAAAAGTTTAAAATAAAAGAAATAATACTTGTAATATTTGTATTCAAATCAACACCATCGTAAATCTAATTGTATTGGATTATTTACAAATGGCCAGAACTGCTATTACATTGCGATGTAACTACCAAAAAATACACTGTATTGATGATTTCCTCTTATACATTCTGAATGTGTTCTCACTTTTGAATGGAAATTTTCTAAGTTTGCCATCATTATTGAAAAAAAAAAACGAATTCATCATATGCCATATGTGAAGAACTAGTTTGATATCTAAGAAATTCAACAGTCTAGCATGAATAATAACAATTAGTTGTTTTGTTTTAAGAAATGTTGGTTAAAATATCTACTTTTATGGTAATTGTGTATAGTTACTACCCAATGACTAGATTATTGTTTAATACTTGTTGAAGACAAAGTATGGAAACAGTTACAGTACTTTTGAAAGATTAATAAAGTTTTCATAAACTTTGAAGAACGTTGTTTACTTTTTTTCAACAACAGTACACTGTACTTTGCTGTCGAATTTCATCTTGCAATAAAGACATCATCAACAGGTGTGATGTTTTTAGTATGTCGCTGGAGGGCCTTCAGGGAACTTACGTCAACCCAAGTGGTTACGTACATGAGATAGTGACATCTTACAAAGCTTGTGGACTACTGTTGCAAAACAGATCATCAACAGAACAAAGCTGGTTTCCTGGGTAAGTTAATGCAGCATAAAAAAGCATTTTATGTTAAATGTATTACTGCTAATCGTGTTTTTCAATTACACCCCTCTCTTTGTACATTTACTAAGTCTTGGCCGAAGTTTCTTAGCCGTTATTGATCATTTTGATTTAAGAGATCTGATTTTTAGGTTAAGGTGTAATGTTTTTTCCATATTCGTGATTTCAAAATGAAGGTGTACTAAAACTACTAGTTCTTAAAAGTTACATTTCACAATTGTGAGATAGGATCACTTGTGGCTTTAGTGGTGGTGATATGAATAGTAATTTCATATCGATATTTTTTAAGGTATGCTTGGACTATTGCTTCGTGTAGTGGATGTGGCAGTCACATGGGGTGGAAGTTTACAGCTACTAAACGTAAGCTACAGCCACAGCAATTCTGGGGATTATGCCGAGCTGCTTTGAGGCCTGCTCTTTGTTCTGGCCGTGAGGATGAACAGTGGAAACCAAGCTTCTAGTGTATCACTAACAGATCTTCAAATATCAACTTTGGTTGTACCAAAAAAAATGTGAGAATTTTCAAATGGTTACAAGCCTGACATGATAATTTAAAAGTAGAAATATGAACACAAGTAAATAAGACCTTTGATAATTATCTTCCTTCTCAGTTCTGTGGTGATCCATTTCTTGCTTTCAAAAAAAGTTTATAAAGCTTTTAGTAAAGTTTATTCTGATTCTTTGTGTATTGCTGTGGTACAGAATTAGTTGAAAGCTTGGGATTTTCAGAGTACGTTTCTTCCTGATCCAGACACCAGGTAAAAACTGTAAATGTCTTCACTGTTGTAACTGTTCATTATTTACTTACTGCGTTACAAGTTGTAAATGTATGCGACCTACCTAGTTACTTTGGTAACTTCATGAAACTAAATATACGTTTATCAGAAGGACATTGGATAGATATCTGTATTAGCAAGAAGAGTTATTATGATTTCCATATTTAACAATCTTTTGATACTTTAAACTAATAAGATGATTGTTTGAAGAAATTATTAGTAGATTTAATACCATGTGAACCTGCATCTTAAATATAGTAACAGTAGTGTTAAGATCAACTAAGAAGTATTCAAGTTACTTCACAGATTCTGACGCTTACCGAAAAATGACGGGAATGAAAGTGGTAGTTTGTGATCTGTTCTCAAATAAAAGAGTAATTATCATTAACTGGAAGTCAAAGAAATTGTGAACTAAGTGATATATCTGAATATCAGGAGCTAAAAGAAAATTACCAAGAAGAAAGCTGACATTAGTAAGTTGAAAAACCTTTTAAATGAACATGATAGTTTTTATGTGCTGTATAGACTTGGACAATAAAGACAATGAAAAAGAAAAGTACTCGAAGCTCACATAGCACGAAGCTTTGGATTTTGTGGCAGAATTATCAAGAAATGAATTAGACAACAGAAAAGTGAGAAAATGGTGACTTCATTATTCGATAAGTCGGTAACTAGATGCGGATCTTAAAATATAACATATGGAAAAAAATGTAATACAATTTATGTTTCTACAGAACAGCTCAAAACGAAGAAAAATTGGTTTTCATGTTAAGGTGTGAACTGATAAATACAGTAGGTTGGGTTTTAAAAGAGGTTTGTCGTTAAAGAATATTATTAAATTTTTTAGCTTAGTTTTAGTACATCCTTAATGATAAGTGTAAGCTCTTGATTATTCTATAGAATACTTCAATAATAGCCACTTTATTCAAGTGTTTTTGTTGTTTTTTAATGATGCTGGAAGTATTAATGTAGAAAATTGTCTTTAGTCTAATCGTAAAAGAAGAAAAAATTAACCAATTTTCTTTTCGTACATGTTTGGAGTAGCATACACATTCAGAATGTCTTCAGGTACGACATTCTGTTATAGTCCATCAAGTAGATGATGTCTTTAAAAACCTTGTGTATATATATATATATATATATATATATATATTAAATCACCAGGCCTGACTGGAAAAACTTTGTTGAATGTCGAGAAATGATAGACCAAGGTTGACCTTTATTTTATAGAGCCAGGATGTTTTCAATCCCTTTCTAAAAACCTATCTTCTTGTGAACCTAGTAATTGATGTGTAATTCATATTGTTTTATAATTGTGGACATTGAACTTCAGAATTATAGGATCTTAATTTTATGCTATTATAAAGTTCTTAAATGGAAATTCATACAAAGATGCACATACAGAAGTTGTGTGATTTGTTTGATATGATAAGTGAATTATTGGATATTTTCAATGACTTGTGAAATCTGTTGAGTTAAGAATTTACCTGTGATAACCATTTTTATCCACTTTTAACTCAACAGGCTGGGAAAAAATTAAAATTTAGTTGATTTAATTATTCTAACTTTGAAAATACTGGTTTAAGTTTTCTTAGGTTGAAAGATTTCTAATGAATAATTACAAGTGCATTTTATTTAAGGTTATAGGTTTTTTGTGTATGTGATAAATAAGCTACACCATTTTGGACTTTGTCAATTGCTATTTTCAAAAATATAAACCTGCTTTATGGCAGTTACATGTTTTGGTTTGTCATTATAAGAAATTGATTTTTTGGCATAAAGTTTACAAAAGATAAAATATTTATAACATAAACATATTTCAATCAAATTATACCTAAAGACTGAAATTTAGTAAGAAAAATATAATTGACAAGACAAAAATGTACAGTGACCGGTGATAATATTAAGGGTTCCATGTTATTATGAAATGCACTTTTGCATTGAATTTTCAGTCCAGCTATTGAATCTTACAGGTTCTAATAAGTATTAAAAAAATAAGAAAAAATAAGTACATCTGTAAATCAGTTATTTCATTGACTGGGTGTTTTTTTCCCTTTCTGAAGAGTAAAGTAAGATACGCAAAACTTTGTAATAGTTCTATGCACGTGGTACTTCTAGATAAACTGTTTTACTCAACAGATATTGTAGAACCCTCCAGTAAAAAGAAGCTTAAGTAGAAAATGTGTGGAAGAGTTAAAATGAGTTTTCTTGATTTTCACTGAGTTGTGAGAAAGCAAAACGATAAGTGTGTAAGTTGGAATATAGCACATTTACTGGATGTTGAGAATGCTCTTAAAAACAAAATCTTTATCTGTTCCAGACTTAGAAAAGTTTACATGATATACACATTTTGACAATGTTGTTGTTCTCATAGTACATGCACTACCATGTCACTATTGGTCATTCCAACAGAAAGATAAGGGGATATTTAACCTCAAGGTATCACCTAACCTGCCAGTGGAAAAGATAGCTGCCCACCTTTACACAGAGTATTATACTTTACAGCAATATATTAAAACCATAAGGGAATAACCCAGAATAAAAGGTAACTAGGATGAAAGAGAATTAGACATATTCCTTGACCTAGTCTTATTTTAAACCAACATACATGTGTATAAAAAATTTTATGAATCACATTTCTAAGTAAAGGAAAAAACATCTAGTATGCATGTGTGCTACACATTTTGTATGCCTTTAGTTAAAGAGGTGGAATCTGTAAAAAATTCCCGTCAGCAGAGACAATGGTATTGCAGATCTTGTACAAGTTGAAAATTGTTCAGCATGTAAAGAAATCTGGTTAAATTTTTGTTTATACTTGTTCTGTAAACTGTATAAATAGTTCAGTTTTTATAAAGTTTTTTTATTTCCTGATAATAAGATACCCATTAAATATAAATCTAAAACTTTTAGCCCTTTGATTTATAATGAGTTTAATAGTATTGAGTTGTTTTTCAAACACATGTTCTAAGCACACTTCTATCATTTTGTAATAAAGGTGAAAAATCGTAGTGGTATAATGTCCTTGGTTACTGTAGATGGAATAAGAGTTCTGTGATTTAACATATTGTGATAAGAAAGAGCAGACAGAATGTCAAAATGTTGTAATTGTTCTAAGCCACTAGTCTTGAATTTTTTCCCAGCCAAGTTGATTAAAATTATGTAACTCTATCAAATGTAAAGATTAGTTTGATGTTAAATAAAATAGTTTTGCTTCAAAAAAGTGTGTGTGTTTTCATCAAAATGCCATATTTCTTGAGCCAGTTGGTAAGTAGGTAGTTGGAGCTGAGCGTTATTTGTGAATGTGAACAACTAATACATTGAGAGAATAAAAAGACCAGTATAAGTTGGAGTTCGGGAAAACAACAAATATTTTAGAATATATTTTTAAACTGACCTATCCACACCTGCCCTTCATGCAAGAGCAGGTTGCAAGTTAAAATAGAGTATCGAGGTATTATTGGTGGAAAATATTGTTAACAAAGAGAGTACCAAACTGATAAAGCAATGCATTCTAACTTTTATAAGTAGAAACATAAAAAAAAAGAATTATATTTAATTAGCTATACTGAATGTCAGGTTGATTTTTAGTTTTCCTTCAAGTACTTAGCTTGATCTGATCAGAAGTTAATT